CGGGGCAGCAGCGCAGGCAGGCAGGCAGGCGAAGGAGCGGCGCTCGTAGCCGGTTTGGGACGTTTTACTACTTCCTACCATCCAAAGCGCTAAAACTGGAGAGCCTATTTCTCGTCCCCAATAAAGTAATTAAAGTGAATGGGCGTCGGGAGGTACTGTTGGGGTGATGGCAGCTAAAACTCAATGAGCTCTGTCTTGAGACCCACCCAGCTGAGGCTGGCTTTAGGGGAGGGAGCCGGCAGCCCCTGCCTGCGCCCGCCCGAGCTGGGCTCACGGGGACGCTCACGGGGACGCTCGCCGTGGCCCTTCCGAGCATCCCATTTCCGAGAGCTGCTTTAAAGCCCGAGAACGCTGCCCACGCTGGCCAGCGTCGGACTCTCCCCTCGCACTGGGGAAATTAAATAAGCTGGGGGGCCTGCCCCTCCTTATCGCTTCGCTTCGGGGGCACTGTGGTCCCCGGGCAGCGGTGACCTTGCCGAGGGGGGCACGCCGGGGCGGTGATGACTGTGCAGATAGCGCTGGATGGAAAAAGCGGCGGCTCCTCGTCCGTTCGCGCCAGCCTCTTGCTGCAGGGACCTTTATTAGGCAGGAGCGATAAATTTGCTCACGCGGATATAAATGTACGGCGGGGAGGTTGGTGCCAACTGCGAGGCTCGCGCCGAAACGCGGCTGATACTTGGCAGCACGCGGAGTCCCATCCCATCGGGAAGATCATCCGGAGATATCTATATACTGTAGGCGATACGAGGCGCTCGCTAAAAATACCCTCCCCAAACTCGTGTGTACGTTTGGAGAGGCTAATTGTTTCTATGGGTGTCATTTAAAGCATGGAAAAAAAGCGAGAGGGAGAGAAGAAAGCCCTGACACGGGCTCTGGATGTGCTGCTTTCAAATATGCCCTGCTCCCTTTAATAACAAACATCGAGCCGCGGTGGCTTTTTTCTGAGCCCTGTTATAATAAGCTCAGATGTTGGATGACATTTTTCCCGGTGACTCACATAGTAAAATTAACCTTGAACTATTTACATATTCAATCGCCACCCTCCCTTCTCCTCCTCCTCCTCCCCTCTCCGCGAGCGTGTGTACATTACAGGAATCCTGGCTCCGTATCAGTTTTTGTTTTGCTGATGAGAAAAGGGAAAAAAAAAAAAAAATTCCCCCGCCTGGAGTATACATCTACTTGAGGGAAAGAACACGCAGTCCTGGCCTTTGGAAATTGGCAGGCAGCGTGCTGTTCCCGCGCTGATAAGAGGTACTGTAAATAAAACTGTACGGCAGCGCCTGCTGTAAAATGCCCCACGTCTGTACTCATTGTTCTGACAGCTCCGGCTTTTTTTGGGTCCGCTGTTTTGGTACACGCTGTGCTTCCTTATGTAAGCGAGCGCGCCCAGCTCCTCCCGGCGTTCGGCCTGTTTATTTTCGCCTCGCCAGGAATTTTTTTCTGTCCCCCC